GTATGTGTGTATGCAGATATGTAAGTATATAAAATGCCTATTTGTATGAATTGCGAATTGCATTCATTTAAAATATGTAAATTTCGATTTTTCATGTTTCATATCATTTTCAACAATTTTATTTTTTATTTTTTTTTTTCGCGTATGCAAACAAATCTTGCACACTTATTTTACAAACAAATAAATTTGTATTTGCTCATATTATTACATACATAAATATGTACGTATGCAATTTTTATTAGCTTCTTACTCATATTCTAAATCTTTTTGGCTTTGGGTAGCTGGAACATTTTGACTCAATTCAACTTTTACTGTTCGCCTGGAGTGTGCCGTGCCAATGATCTCATCGCTCTGAGCGTTTGCATATTTTTAGTTTTTTATCCACCAGCCACATATGTATGTAAGTAAATAAATGCCAATAGTTTGCCGCCAAATAGCAGACAATTGTTTGTTTATTAATATGAATTGTGTATGAAGCTTGAGTGCGTTAAGCTTATTTGGCGCCTACATACAAAAAATATATACAGCAAGCAAACATTTTTTTTTTAGAAAAATCTCTCATGCGTTCGTATGTTGATATGTGTGTATGTTACGTGCTTGCCATGCAAATATTGCAAAATGCATAAGTTAAAATAGTTTGACTTTAATTTTCTAGTTCAAGGTAGACGGACACTCTTAATTTACCCTTGTATCGATAATTTAGCGATTTTTGGTGTGAAATTATGGAAATTATTATATCCTTTGGCTTAGTGAATGAAAACGTTTTAATGAGTATTGAGAGAGAAATGCCAGAAAAAGACTACACTAATGGCCGTTTTCTCAAGTAACCTGTAACTTTGAAGGTCACTTTATATTTAAAGGTTGCATTAAAATTTATGATTGTGTCTAAAGTAAAGAATTTTACTGTCGGGTTTGAATGGGTTTACAACCAAGAAACATACAAACGTCAAAACCGATTATAGAACTGCTTAACTTTGGAAATAAAGCAAATACCAGTTCTTCCAACACTGTCTAGTACTATAGTAGAGTTTAATTTTATTTTCCAAAAGAATGATTTTATTTGGTCAAAGTTTAAATTTATTTGCCCAAAGTTTAAATCTATCCGCTGAAAGTTGAAATCCTTATGCCCAGAGTTTAATTTTATTTGCCAAATGTGTTAATGCTGTATAAAGCAAGCTTTAAAGTTAAAGCTTACTTCAGAAAACGTATGTATTTTAAATGAATTCACTACCATTTACGACCTGAGTCCAAGTAAGGCAAAATTTTTTTTATGACTTTTTACGTGTTGTGGGCATACATAAATAAAACTTAAACAATTTTTTTTTTAATTTAAAACTTTTTTTATATCTATCTTTCGAAGTTCAATTGCATCTTGCTTTCTTTGAATTTTAGACAAAACGATGTTTGGCGATTCGATGTACTAGAGATGTCAGTATACGGAAAAAATCGATGCATCGATGCATCGACCATTTATACATCGAGTAAAAAATTTCGGATACATCGAAGCAAAACATCGATGTTTTTTCGACATCCCTATCCACTAGGCGTTTCCAATGCAGAGGAGGCCTTCTTCTTTCTCTGTTACCCGCATGCCGACCCGCCTTTAATACTTTAAGCTCATCGTTAAATCGTCTACAGATTTGATTAATTGTACACAGTGAAAACTTATTATTCAAATGGCATTTTTCGATTTTGGAAGCAGTACATTTTTTTTTGTGAGCCACCCTAATTAGTCACTGTTGAGAATCGCACTAGTGCCGAACTGCTTCTGTACTAGAGAATTTAGAAACATGTCGAGTCGCGTTAAATCTCTTTTACATGCTAGCAACTGGCGAATTTAACATTGCAATGCCTTAGTTTTTTAGAAAAAGTGGACTTAGCAGCAGCTTTCCACTTTTTTCCAGTGATATGTAGTTTTAAAAAGTAAAATAGAATAGTCTTTTAAAGGTACCATATTTCGCTACTTTTGAACTGGTGGGGATCTAGTCACAATCGGACTGATTCAGTTTTGGTGAGAAAGATCTAGTACGGAATCAGAAATTTTATTCACTAGTTCGTGGTTTCCCTGCAGGGAACGTAGATATGCTGATAGTATTTATCTTCACTAGTTTCGCCGATCTACTCTAAATGCTGCTGCACGTTTTACTGTTACTTTTTTTTGGACATTTGTCTGTACATTATTTGCATGTATGCCACACTATTCACTATATGTAAATATCGGTTACTTGGTCACATGTAAAACAGACGTTAATATGTAAGTAGATATGTATGCATTAATGTATTTACAAAGCAAGTATAGTACACATAGCGCCAAGAGAAATTTGGCAAGAAAATAAAAGATAAAATTAAAGGATGGCCATGACTTACTTTAAGTTATAAATTATTTTCAAAATAACTCCGCTTGAGTAGTTTGATTACAGAACATTGAAGTGTTCTCACAAAATTATGTTTTTCCTATAGGGACTTGAGCATACATACATACATATGTATGTATCCATTTGTTTCGTTAATAAATTTTTGTAGGTTTGCTTCCCTGCAAATTAATTTAGTGAATTTAAATTGATGGGTAAACAAACACAAACGCCGAACACTAAAAAAGCCAAATTCAGACCATTTCGTATTTTTGACTCAGCTATTGTTTACTTAGCATAATAAAGAATTTATCTTTGTGTGTCTTGTTTGGTTGTGAAAATGAGCGCTGAGGCTAAAGTGAGGTCTTTGCTGCTCTCTGAAATTTAATTTCCGAATTGTTTACAAAAGCGAATTTGGAAAGGTTTTTATATTTTAGAGACTTTCAGTTTATGTAATAGTAGTTTCATGCCAAAACAAAAATTTAAAAAATCCTTGGACCAAAAGATGCACCATATGGCAGTAGCCGCGCAAGACAAAACACGAATATAACGTCCTTGCTCGGTACTTTTTAATTTTATTTCATAAAAAAGTTACTGTCCCAGAGCTTTCCAAAATAGAACCCGCTCAGCGATCAGTTAAAATAAATGTTTCTTTGGGAGGAGATGGACAGAATAAAATATACACCGCTTTATTTCATAGAGATTTGTAAAAAAACTTTTACAAATACGTTATTGATTTTGTCTAAGATGGATAAAAACTAAAAAAAGTTAATTTATAAAAAATCTTAAAAAATTTAATTAACAAAAAAAAGTAATTCAAAGAAATTGAAATTAAAAAGAAATTAAAAACATAATCGATATTTTTTAGAAAAAATCTTCAGAATAAAATATTAAAAATAAACAAAATTAAAAAATTTAAAATGTGAGCTTTCTACGTCTTTTACGTACAAAAAATTAGCGGTTAGTTCAAGTCTAAGTTCTTACTAATATGTCTTTGATCATGATTAAACCTGCATGCAAATTAGGATGCCTCAGTCTCCATGAAATAAAAATTGTTATATCGCAAATACAAAATTTATTATATTTTAAGAATATTTCGGAGATTTTTTTGCGTTAAACGTGAGCTGGACCTATTTGGAAATAAATCCAAGAATCGATTTTTTATAAATAAAATTAATTTTTAAAAATAGTTTTTCAAAACAAATCACCTCTGATGATGGAAGAGTTTAATCTTTAAAAGTCTGCATACAAATTTTTATAAAATTTAGCAGCAGAATGAGAGCGTTGGAGGTAAATCTGAATATTTTTATGAACAATTTTGACAGAAGCTCTAAACCTCTCTAAAATAAAATAAGTTTTACAATTCCCGTGGAAACCCCGCAACTTTTTTTTGGTGACGCACCGCACCCTAATGTACACATCGTCGATGTTTTTGCAAAAATCGCCCATCGACCAGTTGCAGCAGCGACTAAGCAATCGGGGACCAAAGAAAATCGTTAGTATTAAAATACGGTTAAATAATACAGGTTTACAAAAGGAAAAGTTTATGAATATAGAACCAAACCTCTATATCCCTATGTTATTCGACGCCCTGAATGCGAATCCGAGGTCTGTTAGCCCCCATCACGTCCGGTTCGGGGTCATTTGAAGATCAAGTAGGGAAAAAATACATTAAATAAACCTGAAAATTCATATATGTATGTAAGGGGGTTTAGAATCGCTGAATCCGAGGTCCGTTAACTCCCATAATGTCAGGTTTGGGGTCATTTGGGGGCCACAAAATGTATTAAACAAAATTTTTTTTTGTCGCTAAATCTGAATATGGGGGCCCTTAATTCTTCATGTTATCTACATGTCATGCCAGGGTCATCCCGGTGTCAAATTCAGAAGAATTGTATTGCATTTTCGGGGTTATTCGAAGCATTTTTTCCTACTTGACCTTCAAATGACCTCGAACCTGACGTGTTGGAGGCTTGCAGACTTCGGGTTCGCATTCAAATCGTCGAATGACTTATGGATATAGAGGCTCGGCTCAATATGCTGAACATTTTTTGTGTAAACCTATGTAATCAATTGGGTGTTATTATTGAAATTCTTCTGAAGAGAACCAGATTTTTTCGATCGAAAAATATTGATTTTCAAGAATTCTATACCATATCTACGTAAAGTTGTTTTTTTTCCATATAAAATACATGGGAAACTTTAAGCGCTTTGAGCGACATCTAAAAATTTTTTTATTTCAAAATAAAAAGATAGGGGTATATTTTTTCGGCTTAAAATTCCGACTTTACTTTTTCACATGCATTTTGGGACTACCCTAATATACATACACACCCTTGAGCAAATTTAAAATCCACAGCTCATTTATGCAATGATGTATGATCGCTGCTACCGACTGTAGCATGTATGAGCAATCATTATGCTAACGAAATATTTGCCTTATGCCTAAGAGTATGCAGCGCTTTCCGCTCCGATCTCACTTTACGTTACTGATCAGTGCAATGTTTGTTGCCGCCGGAAATGATAATGAACACATAAGCAACATAATAAATATGTATGTACATGTGTGTGTCAGTGCACACTATCAGCATTGTGGATTATTTTTCTATGCATTTCCTGATTTTTCATTTTTTAATTTCCCATCAACAGGAGTTCCATGTCGCCTACCTCTTTATACGTATGGGCAATTCGCCACGTCCCGGTCTATGGACGTTGGAGAAGTCCAGCGATTATGGCAAGTCCTGGTCACCATGGATGCATTTCTCCGATTCGGTGCACGATTGTATTACCTACTTTGGCAAAGACTCGTACAAGCCGATCGAACATGATAATGATGTCATTTGTTCAACGGAATTCTCACGCATTGTGCCGCTGGAAAATGGTGAAATACCAGTTATGTTGCTGAACGATCGTCCCTCCGCTTCGAATTATTTCAACTCAACGGTGTTGCAGGAATGGACACGTGCCACAAATGTGCGCATACGCTTGTTGCGTACCAAAAATTTGCTCGGCCATTTGATGTCGGTAGCACGCCAGGATCCGACAGTTACGCGTCGTTATTTCTACTCGATTAAGGATATTTCGATTGGTGGTCGTTGCATGTGTAACGGTCATGCGGATACTTGCGATGTGAAGGATCCAAAGAGTCCGGTGCGTATTTTGGCTTGCCGTTGCCAGCATCGCACCTGTGGCATACAATGTAACGAATGCTGTCCGGGCTTTGAGCAGAAGAAATGGCGGCAGAACACCAATGCGCATCCATTCGAATGCGAACGTGAGTGCGAAAAAAATTGGTAGCAGCATGGGAATGTTCGCTTATATGTATTTTTTTTTTAATTGCTTTGCAGCTTGCAATTGCCACGGTCACACGAACGAATGTGATTATGATGAGGAAGTCGATCGCAAGGCTTTGTCGCTGGATATACATGGGCGCTACGATGGCGGTGGCGTCTGCAAGAATTGTCAACACAACACCGAGGGCATCAACTGCAACAAGTGTAAGGGCAAATACTATCGACCGTTCGGCAAATTCTGGAATGAGACAGATGTGTGTCAACGTGAGTGCAAACTTTTTTTTTGGAATGTTATGAAAATTATGTAAATAATTAATAATTGCCACTTGCAGCTTGCAACTGTGAATACTTCTACTCGACCGGCCATTGTGAGGAGGAAACTGGCCGATGCGAATGTCGTAAGGCCTTCCAACCGCCAAATTGCGACTCTTGCGCCT